CAGATATAAAAGACTTGTTTACCATAAAATGGGGTAGAAGAGATTACCATCGATATTGTAAAGCACCGTGCAGCGCTACTATTGTATTAGATGGACATCAAAAGGCAACACGAAGAGTTTGCGCAGTGAAGAACATATGTATTCCTAGTATTGATGGATCTATTCGTGATGTTAAAGTAGGCTGTTCGGCTACACCAGAATATAGAAGTAAAAAATGCCGAGAACACTTACAAACGAACGAAACTGACAATCTCGATGTATCTGAACATACCAACATGAATATACCGCGAGTTCGTCCTTCTCGACGAAGAAAAAGAAGAGTTCCTGGAGTTCGATTTCATCTTCGATGTAAAACATTAAAATCTTTACAATATAGACGCATTTTGCATCGTACTTCTGGCATTATGGCAGCAGCTTATAATTGTGGTTTTGTTTGCAGTATATATGAGCTGTTTGGAAGTGAATCTATTACACAAGTTTATAACTTTCTGGTATATATGTACCAAAATATAGAAAACTTTCCCGAAATTCTAATTTATGACGATGCATGTCATTTAAAATTGTTTACTAAAAATTCTAGTAACTTCATTCGAACAACTCGTGCTAGACAAAAACTAGAGAGACTAAAAATTTTCTGTGATAAACTTCATTATCGAAATCATACAGATCCTTGGTGTCGTAGAAATACTAATCCATATAATGATTCAGTTGCTAATGGTACTAATACGGAAGTATGTGAGCAAATCTTTGCTTGGCTAGCGCAATATAAAAATATTGTGAGAGGTTTTAACGAATCTACCTTTTTAATCTATATCTGTCTCCTTTGCGATTTGTTCAATAGTAATAAGTATGATAATTTACGAAAAGAATTTTCGTCATCAAATAATATCGTTAGCCACTAATATGTAATGGTTCTAGAAATTGATATGAAAATTTGCTGTTTTTACCTTGATTAGTCGTTTTTCAATTCATAGAATTAATTTCTACTTACACTGGAAAATTCTTCAAATTCGTAATTAACTTTTTGATTTTATCTTTGTCTCAATACAAAACCAATTTTTTAATCAGACAGTTGTATGTGTAATTATTTACTTCAAAATTCGATTACTTTTATTCTTTAAAAAAATGTACATCAAGTTACATTGTATGTTCAGTTTGCTTTTTCTTTTTATGTTGAACTTATTTGAAACCATTTACTAATATTGGTCATCTTTCAACAATCTAGCATTTAAAACATATATTATGTTAGTTATCAAAATTAATGAAAGACTCTCTCCTAAAAGACTTTGATAGTCATTTCATAGATTGATTATTATTTAAATTATAGATATGAATTGTATTATTTCGATAAAACAGCTTATCATCGAAGGTACTTTACTGTTTGAAATTATCTTATTATAGTACAACATTAAAGGATAAACAAAATACTAGAAACCTCGAGAGGATATCTGTGAACATAAACAAAAATAATTCTAACAATATCAATGAAAAAAGTACATAAATAGATCAAAAAACATTCACTTCGTACAGAATTCGAATTCGTCACGTATCATATATGCTTATTACCCGCTCATAACCTATATATAGTTCATTCTCGCCTCTTCTCTTCTCTTCTCTTCTCTTGTCTTTTCTTTCGTTCATCATTTTTACAATGTACTCTACAGATGAACATCACCTAAATGAGATTCAATAATCATACTTCCAAATATGTCTATTTTGTAACAAACAAATTCTTTTTTATCATTTTATCTTCTTTAAAAATTGATTGCAAACAAAAAGTAAGTTCCGATTTCCAACAAAAATTTATTTGAGAATTCTACGAGAAATTTTATTATTAAATTAATTTTCCTTCGAGAACGCTCTGCT